ACATTGTATACAGCTGTTTTGAATTAACATAAAAATTGAAGAGGTAGCGCAGAAGGTTCTCATATCCCGTCCTTATTGGATTTTTTTTTTTTTTTAACTTTTATTTTAGGTTTGGGGTTACCTGTGCAGTTTTGTTACATGGGTAAATTGCATGTCACTGAGGTTTGGTGTACGAATGATCCCATCACTTAGGTGGTGAGCATAGTACCCGATAGGTAGTTTTCCAACCCATTACCCCACCCCACCCTCCCCCTCTAATAGTCCCTAATGTCTATTGTTCCCTTCTTTATGTCCATGTTTACCCAGCTTTTAGCTCCCACTTATAAGTGACAACATGCAGTATTTGATTTTCTATTCCTGTGTTAATTTGCTTAAGATAATAGCCTTCAGCTGCATCCATGTTGCTGCAAAACACATGATTTTATTCCTTTTATGGCTGCTTAGTATTCCATGGTGTATATGTACCACATTTCCTTTATCCAATCCTCTGTTGATGGGCACCTAGGTTGATTCCATGTTTTTGTTATTGTGAATAGTGCTAGTGCTGCAATAAACATACAAATGCAGGTATCTTTTTTGTAGAAAGATTTATTTTCCTTTCGATATACACCCAGTAGTGGGATTGCTGGGTCAAATCATAGTACTGTTTTAAGTTCTTTGAGAAATCTCCATGCTGCTTTCCACAGGGGCTGAATAATTTATAATTCCTACTTTATTCATTTTTTTTTTTTTCTGAGACAGGATCTCACTTTTTCACCCAGACTGGATTACAGTGGTACAATCTTGACTCACTGAAGCCTCTACTTCCCTGGCTCAAGTGATCCTCCTGCCTCAACCCCAGAAGTAGCTGGGACTACAGGTGTGCACCAGCATGCCTGGCTCATTTTTGTGTTTTTTGTAATGATGAGTTTTCCACCATGTTGCCCAGGCTGGTCTCAGGCTCCCTGAACTCAAGTGATCTGCCTGCCTCAGCCCCCAAAGAGTTGAGATTATAGGTGTGAGCTACCATGCCCAGCCTGGTGTTCCCTTTTATGCACAACTTTGTCAACATGGTATTTTTTTACTTTTAGTAATAGCCATTTTGACTGATGCAAGATGGTATCTTATTGTGGTTTTGATATTGATTTTGATTTCTCTGATGATTAGTGATGTTAAGCATTTTTTCATATATTTGTTGGCTGAATGTATGTCTTCTTTGCAAAGTGTCTTTTCATGTCCTGTACTCATTTTTAATGGAGTTGTTTATTTTTGGCTTACTCAATTGTTTAAGTTTTTAAAATAGATTCTAGATATTAGGACTTTGTCAGATGCATAGTTTAGGAATAGTTTCTCCCATTCTGTAGGTTGTCTGTTTACTCTGTTGATAGTTTATTTTGCTGTGAAGAGGCTCTTTAGTTTAGTTAGATCCCACTTGTCAGTTTTTCTTTTTGTCACAATTGCATTTGTAGACTTGGCCATAAATTCTTTGCCAAGGCCAGTGTCCAGAATGGTATTTCCTACGTTTTCTTCTAGAGATTTTATAGTTTTAGGTCTTACACTTAAGTATTTAATCCTTCTTGAGTTAATTTTTGTATATGGTAAAAAGAACGAGTCCAGGTTCAATCTTCTGCATATAACTAGCCAGTTATCCTAGAACCATTTATTAAATAGACAGTCTTTTCCCCTTTGCTGTTATTGTTGACTTTGTCAGAGATCAGATGGCTATAGGTGTGCATCTTTATTTCTGGGTTCTTTATCCTGTTCCATTGGTCCATGTGTTGGTTTTTGTACCACTACCATACTGTTTGCTTACTGTAACCTTACAATACAGCTTGAAGTTGGGTAGTGTGATGCCTCTGGCTTTTCTGTCCCCCCCCCCCCCCCCCCCCCCCCTCAGGATTGCTTTGGCTATTTGAACCCTCTTTTGGTTCCATATGAATTTTAGAATGATTTTTTTGTTCTAATTCTGTGAAAAATGATGTTGGTAGTTTGATAGGAATAGCACTGAATCTGTAAATTGCTTTGGGCAGTATGGCCATTTTAACAATGTTGATTCTTCCAATCCATGAGCACGGAGTATTTTTCTATTTGTTTGTGACATTTCTAATTTCTTTCAACAGTGTTTTGTAATTCTTGTTGTAGAGATCCTTCACCTTGGGTAGCTATTTTTTAGGTATTTTATTATTTTTATGGCAATTATAAATGAAATTACCTTTTAATTTGGCTCTTAGCTTGGACATTGTTGGTGCATAGAAATGCTACTGATTTTTGTATTGATTTTGCATCCTGAAACTTTACTGAAGTCAGTTATCTGTTTGAGGAACCTTTTGGCTAAGTTTTTAGGGTTTTCTGGGTATAGAATTGTATTGTCTGCAAAGAGTGATAGTTTGACTTCCTCTCTTGCTATCTGGATGCCTTTTATTTTTTTCTCTTGCTTGATTGCTCTAGCTAGGTCTTACAAGACCACCTTTTATTTACCCAGAAAGGGACGTTTACCAAGCACTTTCACATGCATTATCTACACTGATCCTCCCAACAGCCTTGTGTAATATATGGCCCCTCAGCATTGGCACCGATGCCATGGAAGCACTAGGAAATGATGAGAAGGGAATAGGCTTTGAAACTGGACAGACTTGGGTTTATTTGCTTGGGCCTTTCTACCTGGTCATGTGGCCTAGGGATGTAACAGTACCTCTTTTTACTTCTGTATTTTATTTCATAAAAGACAACCAACAAAGGAGGAAAGGAGGAGAAGAAAGAAATAAGTGGGCTATTTTAAAGATTGAGGCTGATGATGTAATGGATTTCATGAAATTTTAGGAACACATTTGGACAATAGTTTTTTCTTTTCTTTTTATTTCAATAGTTTTGGGGGTACAGGTGGTTTGTGGTTACCTGGATAAGTTCTTCAGTGGTGATTTCTGAGATTTTGATGTACCCATCACCAGAGCAGTGTACACTGTATCCAATGTGTAGTCAGAGAGATTAATTTAGATGACGACATCAAGATTATAAAAAATCTTAACAATCTGGAACCAGGGTGAAACGAAATGAAGTTTTTGTATTTGAATTGAAAAGAATCCTAATAAGTAGCACACAGAAATAGAAAACACAACTTAATGCCGTTACCTTTGTGAACGTGACCGGGAACAAGCCACTAGACCAGCATGTAGGTTAGTATTGACTTGCCATACAAGGGGGAACACATTGGTCTTCAGTAGGCTTGAATTTACCTAATCATCCTAGCATTTGGTCCAAGTGTCTCCATCTCATCCTCATGCTCACAAAATGCCCCCATGACTCCCTCTCTCCTAGGGCTGGTTGCCCCCACAATGTGCTTCCATCATTAACAGCCCATTATTTTATTTTCTGTCCATTGCTTTCATCTGCCCAGTAGACTAGGTGCATTCTGAGAGCAAGAACTGAATCTTATTTAAGTCTTTGAATCTCCAGAACCTACAAAAATTGTCCAAATATACGCAAAGGCATAAGAATAATATAATAGACGCTGGGGACTCAGGGGAAATGGGTGGGAGGCAGGTGAGGGATAAAAGACTACCCATTGGGTACAGTGTCCTCAAGGCCAGGCCTGTTCCTTTGTCCTGGTAGGTACCTAGAAATGAAAGTTGTTCACCTAAAGACTCCCATTCTGTTAAGCACATCTTACAGGGGTCACAACTGGGCCCACTAAGCATACTGATCATCAACAGAATGACTGTTATCTTCTCTCACCAAGGAAAGAGCTCAAATTTCTCCTCCCCTATCAGTTAACCTGCTGAGGCCACTCCTAATTACCTATACTGGCTTTCAATGTGTGACTGATTGCAACTATTGCTTTTTACAAAACTACCCCAAAACTTAGTGGCTGAAACCAGAACACATTTATTATCTCCCAGTTTCTGCAGATCAGAAATAGAGTGTGGCTTAGCTGGGATCCTTGGTTCAAGGTTTCTCACAGGCTGCTGCAAGGCCGGGACTGTGGTCCCCTCAAGACTAGATGGAGGGATGATTCACTTCCAAGCTCATTCACACGGCTGTTGGCGCCATTCAGTTCCTCAAAGGGTGTTGGCCAGAGGGCACCCTTAGTTCCTTGTCACTGGGATTTCTCCATAAGGCAGCTCACACATGGCAGCTGGCTTCATCAGAACCAGCAAGTAAGAAGAGCCCCAGAGAGGGAGAGAGCAAGAGAACAAGACAAAATCACAGTCTTATGTAACCTAATCTTAGAATCACCCATTGCTTTTGCCATATCCTACAGTCGACCCTTGGTATATGCAGGGGATTGGTTCCAGCATCCCTGTGCATACCCCAATCCGTGCATGCATACTGAAGTTCTGCAGTTGACCCTGCAGAAGCCACATATTTGAAAAGCTGACACTCCTTATGTGTGGATTTCTCATCTCGCAAATAACGTATTTTCGATCCACATGTTTGTTTGAAAAAAATCCGTGTATAAGTGTCCTGTGCAGTTCAAACCCATGTTGTTCAAGGGTCAACTGTATTTCTTAGAAGTAAGTCACTAGATCCACCCCGTAAGAGGAGAGGATTTCACAAAGGTGTGAATACTAGGAGATGGGGTTCATCTCAGAAGCTGTCTGCGACTGTGATGAAAGGGGAATTCAGTTGGGGTGCATGAGCAAATTCACAAGTAAAGATGTTTTGGTCTAGGTGAAAAGAGGCTTTAGATAAGATACATCTCTTAAACAAATGATACCTAAGCAAAGCTGCTTGTGTACAGTAGGTGCTAAATAATTACTGTTTTTCTTTCTTTTACTTTTTCATTTGGGAAGAATCTTTAAATAAAAGTTGCAAGAAGAGTGAAAGAATCTCATATACTTTTACGGATTCACCATTTGTTAATTATATTTTGAATACATTATAAAATATGTCACATGGGAGGACAATATTTGTAACCATCAAAACTTTGGAGCCTGGTGAGAGGTGTAGGCTGGAGTCATATTGGATCTCTGCATGTGGAATTGTCATCTCTCAAATGCTTGCTTTTCCTCTTCTTCCTCCAGAAAATCCTGAGCGAGCAGCTCTGTACTTTGTTTCTGGCGTATGCATCGGGCTGGTGCTGACCCTGGTTGCTTTGGTGATAAAGATCTCTTGCCACACAGACTGCAGGCGGCGTCCCAAGAAGAAGTTCCTGCAGGACAGAGAGAGCAGCAGCGACAGCAGCGACAGTGAGGACGGTAGTGAGGACACCGCGTCCGATCTCTCCGTGCGGAGACACCGCCGCTTCGAGAGAACTTTGAACAAGAACGTGTTCACCTCCGCGGAGGAGCTGGAGCGCGCCCAGCGGCTGGAGGAGCGCGAGCGCATCATCAGGGAGATCTGGATGAATGGCCAGCCTGAGGTGCCCGGGACCAGGAGCCTGAACCGCTACTATTAGGGAGCAGTAGGACCCCCGGACACCACTGGAGGCCGCCTGGAAGGGAGAGGATCTGCAGGGACAGTGGGCACAAGGAACTGAACCCAGCTCTGCTAATACTGTGATTTCAGAGAAAAACCAGGACATGCCCCTTTTCTAGCCAGGGGGATTGCTCCTTTTTACCCAAATGTATGGAGAAGTAGAAAAATCAAAGCAGTTCATCAATCTTCCAGGTCTTGGAATGGTGCTGAAAAACCCTCTCCAACACTGTGGATGGAGATCAGAGAAACGCGACTTTGGTTTCTCTTGATTTCTGAGGATCTCAGAAGTTTCTGCAGACTTCCTTGCTATGTGTTATTCCTTTGCAAAAGGAAAGATCATTATAGTATGAGGGCTTGGAATAGCGGGGTGAACTTAACCCAATAAATGCAATTTCCTAAATGACTCCATGCTATGGAGGTGATTCGGATTCAAATAGCGTGATCCATGCTTATTATTTAAGGCTGATTTTTAAAATCTCGTTTTGCAAGGGCAACGCCGTCCATTTTAACTGGCACCTCAGGGATTAAAATCCTATTTTTTAGTATAGTTCCCATCTCATTCATGAAAAATGAATAGAACTATTGTATTATGGGAGATGTGTCAGTGAACTAGAAAATGTCAATAACCTCAAAGGATGAAGGGTTTTTATTTTAAATAGTTTATAAAATATATATTGACATGCATATTTGAAAATGCTGCATAAAAATAAAAGTGGTGTGTTTTCCCCCTCTTTGGAGACAAGAAAATTTTATTATGATTCTAGATAATTGTGATTTTAAACACTTTGTTTTTTTAAAAAAAGTTTGAATTTCAAAGAAAAGAATGGAAATGAGAGGTAAGGATTAAAGACAAAGTTAGGATGGGAATTAAAAAAATAAACATTACATAAAACCTTTTTGGTTTCATGTCTGTCTCTGTGGTTACCCTTACCTTAAATGACAGCTCTTTTATATACATGGGTATGGGCTTTTGCCAGGCCCCCTCCAGGATTAGAGTGGGGAGATGGTTCCTGTGTAATAATGGGCTTTTCACTTTTTGTAGGTTATATGGATGATTGCTATAGTTGTTAAGCAGATAGAGGAATAGAAGACTTACCTAAAGCTAGAAATAAGATGGTAGCCCTTATATTAAAAGAAGTTGGTAGGGAAGGAAGAGAAGCCAGGCTCTGCCATATTTAGAAATAGGTTACAGAGGACAAAACATCCCCTAGGCTGGTAAACAGGAAGAGTGAGACCTGTCTCTCTGTTTACTCCCTTCTTTTGCTGTGGAGTGGGTTCCTAGTCAGTCTATCTGGGTGCTCCAGGGCCTTCCTGCTGCGAGGGTCTCCCCTGTTCATTGACTTTGTCACCATACTTAAGAGGATGGTCAGGAGACTTCCTCCGGTGAGGTCTCTACTGCTTTAGCAACCCACTTTTTGTTGTAAGGACTCTTGGAGGGCTGTCTTAAGAACTGAATAATCATAATCATAATCTCTGCTTGCCAAGGGGGCAATAAAGTTCACCTGAAACACTCAGTCGCTGGCCCGATTATATAATTTTGGGTGGCTGGCAACATTGGCTGGCTAGTTACAAGTGCCAAAAATCTTGCTGAGTCAGCATCTCTGAATCTGGATCCTTGCCCTTGTGGTTTCAGTCCCTTAGCAACAATTGCAGGAATCATCCGATTCCTCTGGGCTTTAGATTAATGTCATCTATCCTTGTCTCCACCTCTTGGAAAAATGGAACAATTGGGAGCTGATTTCTATCACCAGGGAGCATCAAAGCTGATTATGGGGGGGGGGGATTATGAGCCTTATTGGGTAGGGAATGCAGTAGCTGAGGTGTTTGGGAGGGCTCCGGGGTATATGCCTGTCTCAGTTCTCACTCCCATATCCTTTTGACCAAGTCCATAATGTTCTTGTAATTATGGTGGTGGGGACATTGTCTGAGGCATAAAATACACTAGGTAGCAGCTGCTTCACTTTCATATAACAAGGATTACAGCTTTTCAACCTTCCCTATCTTGATTCAACCAATTCCACATTTTAGGGTTATCGCTTCACACCTGGTTTTAGTTTCTGTAATAGAACACTTGCATTTGCAACAGAAAGATACTCCACTTAAGAGCATTTATTGATCCACACAACTGGAAGGTCATGGCTGGATCTGAGGCTTCAGAGATGGCTGGATCCAGGATCTTCAATGCTACCAAAAAGTTGCTCTTTCTCAGCTCTCCATTTTGCTTCCTTCTGCCGCTGGTTTCATTGTCTTCTACTGCAGATGAAACTGTAACACACTTGTGCAAGTGTGTTCGGGTGCTTGCTTCTGATCAAGCCCCACACACAGCTCACCCACTATGTATGTGCATATTTGGCACAGGTTCATGGCTTGTTTAGCTCAGAAGTCAGAAGCAAGACACAATGTGGAAGGGATGCTTTTTTGGTGCAGGTTTCCTGGTCTTTGGAAGTTTCACAAAGAAGCACTAGTGGACAAAATTCTGAGATAACTTTTGAAGTAAAGATGACTTAGGAGCCCAATAAATCCTCTTCAGGCATTAATGCTCCCACCAACTTCCCTTAAGAGCCTCTTCCTGATCTGCAAGGGACAGGTGGTCATTTTCAACTCATGGCATCTCTAAACGCACTCAGATGAACCTTTGCCATGTGGCAGGGAGCACACCATAGGGACTTCGGGATTTACATAGTTTCAAATAAGGACAGAAGAGAAAAGAAACACCTTACTCTGTGGCTTAACATATAAAATCACAGGAAGGACTCTATGGCTTGGCTTGTGTAGGTCGATGGATGAAATCACCAGTCATTGTGGTCAAGAGACTGAGCTTCTCTAAGAGGAACGTGGAGAAAGGATGCTAGGCAGGCACTCGCAATAGCCACTGCACCACTCCTTTCTGTCTTTCTTGGTTTTCCTACTCTCTCTCACAGTTTTTCTTTTTTATTTTTCTTAATGCTTTATCTTCTTTTCTTCAGCCCCTTCAATATAGGTCCATCCTTCTCACCTTGAAGCGCAGGTCTTCTCACCCTACATCCTGAGACATCTCATATATTGCAGTGACTCTAAAGACCACCTGCACACTGATGACTTGAAAAATCTCTTTCCAGTCCTGGCTAAGTTTCAGACTCATATACCCCACTGACCTCAACCACAGGAGACAATTGTCCCACAGGATAAATTTGGCAGTGTCAGGGAGACATTTTGGTTGTTACTGCTGGGTGGGTGGGATGCTATTTGTATCTAGTGGCTAGAGGCTAGGAATGCTGCTAGACATTCGATAGTGCCAAAGCCAGCCTTTCAGTCCTCTCCACCAATCCCCCAGCAGTGAGTGAAGAAATCTCCAAGTTATTATTCCAGCCCCCAGCCATATGATTCTTTCCAACCAAAGCCTTAGACATTGTAGAATAGAGATAAATCACCCCTGCTGAGCCCTGTCCAACTTCCTAGTCCACAGAATCCATGAACACAGTAAATTGGTGATATTTTTATGCCACTAAGTTTATATTCCCACTTTTATGAAGGAGAAATATACTACCATACAACCTCTACCCTAAGGTTGGCCACCCTGAGGAGTCCTTTTTACATGTAGCATTGTTATGAATGTATTACTGTTCCCAAAGGATAGAGGAACAAACATTTCTACATGCAGTATGCCCCTAAGTTTACAATAGATAGCTGGACAACTTCCCAAAACTGCACTCATCTTCCCCCTACACCTATGTCTCTACCTATATTTTCTGTCAGTTAATGATATGGTTTGGATCTGTGCCCCTGCCCAAATCTCATGTCAATTTGTAATCTCTAATGTTGGAGGGCGGGCCTGGTCGGAGGTGATTGTATCACAGGGGCGAGTTTGCCTCTTTCTGTTCTTATGATAGTGAGAGAGTTCTCATGAGATCTTGCTGTTTAAAAGTCTGCAGCACCCACCTCTTCTCTCTCTTCCTCCTGCTTCTGCCATGTAGGATGTGCCTGCTTCTCCTTCACCTTCTGCTCTCATTGTAAGTTTCCTGAGGCCTCACAACCATGCTTCCAATATAGCCTGTGGAATGATGAGCCAATTATTCCTCTTTTCTTTATAAACTACCCAGTCTCAGGTAGTTCTTATAGCAATGTGAGAATGGACTAATATAGTTAATGACAAGGCAAGTTACAAGGTTACCCAAATTAGAAGCCTGGGACCATTCCAGTTTCCTTCTTGTCCTTGAAGTTTCACGTATAACAATTAACAATCTTCCCAATTTTAAGTCATTAATATTTCTTACATTGATTCTTACTGTACAGCTTAGTTTAAGCCCTTATCATCTCCTGCCTAAACAATTGGAAAAGGCTCCAAACTGTTACCTAAGTCTTGCCACCGGCAAAGCCATACTGAATACAGCTACCAAGGTGACCTCTATTAAATGCATGGCTGCTCATATACCAATCTCTCTTTTAAATCTCCCATTTTTTCCCCATTGCTTATTAAAAATGTGCAAATACTTCTACATAACATACCAGGCTCTCCATAGAAGGCTCCTGCAGCTTCATCACCTGTCCTCCTTGCTCATTCCTTTACATTCTGATAATATCGCATGGCTTATAGTTCTCTTCCACACTTTTTATCTCAATTGTTGCGTCTGTCTAAAATACCTTCCCCTCTTTCTCCCACTTTTCTACCTATCCTCAAGACTCAGCACAAGTGTTTCCTCTACCAGGAAGCCTTCCAAGACTTCTCCAGGCTGCGCTAAGTATTGTCCTCTAAGTTTCCACATATACTGTGCTTGTTATGCCCCTTGTTCCTACCATACTGTTGTGAAATTGTTCACTTGTACCTCAAAGGCAGGGAGTCGCCTTGTTATTAGGTCCCAGCAGGATGCACACATCACATGCTTTCAGCAGATATTTGTTGAACTGTGGTAAAGACTATATTGTATTCACCAAACCCTGTTCTCTCTGCTTTCTGGACACATAGATGGACTATATTTCCAAGACACTATTTTGGGTAGATGTGGCTGTGTGACAGTTTTGCCAATGGAATGTGGCGGGCCTACCTAATTGACATTTGCCATTTCGACATTGGTTGGCTCATATGATCTTCTATCCTCTCTGCTGGCTAGATGCAGAAGATTCAGCAAAGAATTCTGAGGCTGTAGAAGATGGTGAAGTCACAAAATGGAAGAAGCCTGGGTTTCTGAATGACCACACAGTGGGCCACTCACTGTCCAGGAACATCCACATTGTATTTTGTATTAGGAGAGAGAGGCTGATGAAATACAACCCTGAATTGAAGGCTGGAAGGGCTCTTGAAGTCTTTGCTTCCAACTCTATCTTCGACAGGCTTATTCCTAACTCATTCTTCATGAGTAAAATTGATCCTAAAACTTCAAAGGGAATTCTATAGAGCAGAGTAACCCTCTTATTTAGGTAACCATTTGCCTTTACTACTTTTAACTTTTTTTTTTTTTCAGGTAAACTGATCATTGATTAGCAGTAGTGCTGTTTGGCATAACAGGTTTCCAGTAAATAGGCATGAAGTTGCATGGAGGTGACAGAGGCAGGCACAGGCCAGCTTCACTCACTTCTTCCACTCGTTCTTTTCGTAGTCCCACTTGGAGGCTAAGCCCTGGATGGGGTTCACCTTCATGTCCAGCATCCTCTTGGTCTGCATGGCCACCCACTCTTTGTCAAAGGTTTGCGGGAGGGGGCCGTACACATAGAGCTTCTGCCACATGATAATGAGCGCGGTGGAGCCGATGAAGAACATGGCAGTGCCCACAACTTTTTCCACTCATTCGAGCCCCTGTTCATCTCAGCAAAGCTCTCCTTGAACTTAATGCGATACAACTCGACTTTCTCATCCATGGAGAGGCTGCTCCAGGATGCCTTCTCTTTCTCCTTCAAGGCCTTCTGGCTGGCGGACAGGTGC